GTCCCATTACATATAATGGCAGAGATGTCCCAAACCAACTAGTTTGTGTGGTGCAACTGCTTGTAATTTAGTGATGAGAACTTAAAATGTCACTGCATGTACATGTTTTGTTGATAGTTATGTACCTACAGGTCACAGTCTTGCTAGTCTATTCAGCCACTGATGCTTCTCTCCTGAAAGAAAGAGAGAATTGAATGACACCAACAGAGATTCTCTTCATCACTTTACAATGAGTCAACAGCACTGTCAAATTAACCATGACCCTTGTTCAGTGTGTGTGTGTGTGTCAGTTGTTGGCTCTTGTAGGGGTCCTCTGTGAATGATTTGATTATCTTAAAGCCCATGGTGGTGTATGCGGTCGCATCGTCAGACAGCATGGAGCGCCAAGACATACCATTGCCCAAACACATGCACACAGATGCCATATCAGTGACTTACACTTGTTTCAAAGTAACAATGTATAACCAATCAATGTTCAACCCAAGAACTGACTGATTTTTCTCTCTGCTACTGCACTGCAGAGCAGAACCAATCAGAGCTAACTACAAGCCTCCAATCTGCTGTCCGCATCGAATCATGACCTGTGTGCAGCTTGCAGTGTCACCTGTTTTCTGTGTGTTTGAGTGTGTGTGAAGCGCCTATTGTAAGAAATTACTGCTCACAGTGCAGCTTTTCTAATCACTCACAATGCTACCACCTGTTTATGAATTTTGTTTCAGCAGAGTCAGTTGTTAATTTTTGGCAAACTCTTGACTCTGCTTTATCATCCACAGCATCATTAAACGCTGCCAGTGTATGAACCTACTACTACTATTCTTTTAGCTTTTTAAGTAAGCCTGGATTTGAAAGCGTCTATATCAACTAAAAGGTCAATGGAGTACTCTGTCTGTTAGGATTTTAAGGAATCCTGTAATTGTCTGTAATTGCTTAACTGTAAAATGTCCTGCTCCATAAATATCTTGGTCACAATTCTTAAAAAAAAAAAAAAAAAGCAGGAATTCCTTTGTGTGTATCTGTGTGTATGTCAGTCTACAGCTAATCTCCGCATTAGTACTGACCCATTCCAAATCTTTGTGCACATTTATGACTGTATGCACTAGGATATCTTATGGTTGCAGTGATTTACAATTTCTAAAAGGCTTATTTTATTGTGAGAATTCAACATCTTATAATGTCTACACTTTTTAT